TTTCGGGCAGGAAGAAGAATACACTTACGATCGAATACGCTCGAATTTTCGCTCTCTATTACCCATTTTGTTGAGTACAGGCATGATTTCTGGGCTATTTTGGGCACACGCGGGATCTCGCATTGCGTACGGGAAAGAAACTACTTAAATATAATTAATCGATTATCGATTCACAACAACAAAGTCATCAGCAGATTTTTGCGAAAAGTTACCTTGCCATACTTATTTACTACTTAACAAGAATTTTAGCAAAATGTTGCTGATTTTGGTTAAATAAATCATTTATTTCTAAGAAATTTGTATTTATTATTTTTGTAAATTTCTGGAAACCGATTGAAACCTGTGATTGAAATGGTTTCGGTATCGTTCCTTTTCAGGTCAAGACAACGGTTACGGTTTCGGTTTCGGTTTTGAAAAACGAAACGGTTTTAAACGGTTACGGTTTCGGTTTGGGTTTCGGTTTCATTCATTGGTTTTGTGTTTTAAAAATGTGATAAATATTTTTCGCCTCACTTTAAAGCTCTGAATAAAAATGATGCCATTAACACAAATAAACTATTTTACATATCGTCGTTTAAAGTGCGAAACCGCATATCAACAAAACGCAAAACCGCGTACCAACAAAATGCAAAACCGCGTATGTGAAGTTGTAGAAATTATTTTCTAGAGCGTAAAAATACTCGTATTTCAAAATGGTTATATTTTTTTTATTAAGCAATCGCATTTCTGGGTAGTATATTTCAGGACGAGTGGATAAGGATTGAGCCAAGAGCTTGTGTGAGCAAATCCAATTTTTGGCAGCCAATGTCAGTTACGCGGTTTTGCACAATGACGATACGCGGTTTTGTACTTTAAACGACGATATACTCCACGTGCAAGGTCATGAGTGAGCCGAACATTTGATGAGTTTATGATGAAGATAATGTAAATAACGCTAGCGCTCGCAGTGCTCTTAAAAAATATAGCTCTTCCCAGCGAGAGAGTATTTTGATACATTTACGAGCTCTCTTTTTTAAAACCTACAAGTGTGTAATCACATTATTTTTATAAATAGAACACAAGAGAATATTTTACTTTGATTTTGGCCACTCAGAGTTTGGTTTTTGAATTCACCCGCGATGCAAATTTACATTGTTAGATCTAATTTTCACATTTAATTTTTTACGAACTTTGGGAATATTTAGAAATGTAGCAGCAGGGGGTCCACCGAAACCAGTAAATTTTTGAAAGGGGTCTACGAGAAAAAAAAAGTTTGGGAACCTCTGGTCCATGCTAACACACATGCTTTTTTCGGGTGATCGTTCATCTGATCTGATACACAGCACCTGCGACTTAAGATGCTGAGAACGTAGCTGCTCACTACCTAACTTATAATAAAAATCAAAAGATAACGATTTCGCAATGATCTTAAACTAAATAGCTAGATATTTAGCCGTAATATTCTCCCCCTAATAATTCAGTTTTAAGAACCGATGTACATATAAACAAATTTTGAAGCAAATCAGAGATGTAAAACTTAGTTAAGCGTCCGGTTTGAAAGTGAATGAATGTACATTGGAATGCGTCTTATTAAATATTGTGAGGATATAATGGTTAATGTTCTATTTTTTAATTATTCTAATTTGGACTTATAGTCGAACAGGAGCGCGCTGATAAAATCCTCAACGCCAAGAGGGGGGGGGTTAGAGCCTTACGCGGCGCCGCGAAGCTACGAAAATTTAATGTTTGAAAGAGCAAAAGGTAATAATAATGATTTTATTTCGCACCAGTTTTCGAAATAGTGTCAAATTGACTTTTTTCCGTTGATTTTGTTACCTGTCACCGCGTTAATCATGTCACAAAATATATTTCCAATGGAGGCCGCTAATTTCTCATGGGCTGCAATATAGTCAGCGCTAATTGCTTGACATCTTTTGCTGGCAGTCTGGTAGTTTGGCACCCATATCTTCGTTTGAAAGAAATCGTGCTGGTGGTAACATCGATGAATTTTTGGGCACCCTGAAATTATGCATATGGAAACTGTGCATACGAAATAATGCATATGAAAAAAATCGAAATAATGCATACGAAAAAAAACGAAATAATGCATATATGCATAGTTTCGGTTGAAAACCGAAATAATGCATATGAAAAAAACCGAAATAATGCATATATGCACAGTTTCGGTTGAAAACCGCAATAATGCATTTTAGAAAAACCGAAATTATGCATATGCACTCTTTCGTTTGAAAACCGAAATAATGCATATGAAAAACACCGAAATAATGCACATATGCACAGTTTCGGTTGAAAACCGAAATAATGCATATGAAAAACCCGAAATAATGCATACATGCACACTTTCGTTTGAAAACCGAAATAACGCATATGAGAAAAACGAAGTAATGCATACATGCACAGTTTCGGTTCAAAACCGAAATAATGCATATGACAAAAACCGANATTGCCGGAAAAGGGGACCGGTAGTATTTTTGCGCAGAACTTCTTTCTGCGTAGGCGGCCTTCGGCCGCGCTTAGGGATTATAACCCTTACTAAGTAGAATTCTCCTTTCTGTGTTGCCGGAAAAGGGGGCCGGAAGTACTTTTGCGCAGAACTTCTTTCTGCGTAGGCGGCCTTCGGCCGCGCTTAGGGATTATAACCCTTACTAAGTAGAATTCTCCTTTCTGTGTTGCCGGAAAAGGGGGCCGGAAGTACTTTTGCGCAGAACTTCTTTCTGCGTAGGCGGCCTTCGGCCGCGCTTAGGGATTATAACCCTTACTAAGTAGAATTCTCCTTTCTGTGTTGCCGGAAAAGAAGGGCGGAAGTATCTTTGCGCAGAACTTCT